CAAAAAAGTCCACAGGACTTTTTTTCCAACTCCAATTAACACCAAAAAGCAGGGCTAGTGGCATGGCTCAAGTGTGTAATGATTCATCAAGGAAGTAGAACAAGAGCAAACCACTGAGTTCAAATCTCAGTACTGCAAAAAAAAATCAAAATCATCACACAATGAAATAAAAATTAAGATATAAATCCCTGAAATTATTAAAACACATTTTTTGGGGGGGGAGGGGTCGGTCATGGGGCTTAAACTCTGGACCTGGGTGCTGTCCCTCAGCTCTTTGGCTCAAGCCACAGCTCCATTTCTGGTTTTCCGGTGGCTAATTGGAGATAAAAGTCCTGGAGTTTCCTGCCCAGGCTGGCTTTGAACTGCAATCCTCAGATCTCAGCCTCCTGAGTGCCCTTCAGAATTACAAGAGGCATGGGCTGGGAAGTTGGCTCAGTGGTAGAGTGCTTGCCTTGCATGCATGAGGCCCTGGGTTCAATTCCTTAGCACCACATAAGCAGAAAAAAAAAAAAAAAAAAGCTGGAAGTGGCGCTGTGGCTCAAGTGGTAGGGTGCTAGCCTTGAGCTGAAGAGCTGAAGGACAGCACCCAGGCCCAGAGTTCAGGCCGCATGACCAGACCCAAAAAAAAAAGAAAGAAAAGAAAAAGAAAATGTTTCTTCTTTCCTGGGGTAGAATATTGTAACTACAAGGTAAGAAGTATCTAGATATGAAAAAAAAAATTACAAGTTTAAGAGCCAGGATTGGGACTGGGAAGGTGGCTCAGTGGTAGAGCGCTTGCCTTGCATGCATGAGGCCCTGGGTTCGATTCCTCAGCACCACATAAGCAAAAAGAAAAAAGCTGGAAGTGGCGCTGTGGCTCAAGTGGTAGAGCACTAGCCTTGAGCTGAAGAGCTGAGGAACAGTGCCCAGGCCCAGAGTTCAGGCCCTACAACTGGACCCAAAAAAAAAAAAAAAAAACATTTAAGCCGGGCGCTGGTGGCTCAAACCTGTAATCCTAGCTACTCAGGAGGCTGAGATCTGAGGATCGTGGTTCAAAGCCAGCCCGGGCAGGAGAGACAATGAGACTCCTATCTCCAATAAACCACCAGAAAACCGGAAGTGGCGCTGTAGTCAAGTGGTAGAGCGCTCGCCTTGAGCTGAAGAGCTGAGGGACAGTGCCCAGGCCCAGAGTTCAAGCCCCATGACCGACAAAAAAAAAGAGCCAGGATTATTTTTTGTTTTTGAGACAGGATCTGGCTATATAGGCCATACCTTAAACTTATATATCCTTCCCAAACATTGGAATTACAGGTGTACATCATCACATCCATCAGGAATTGCTTTTTGGATGTAATTCTCTGCTACAGTCAGTTATACTAATGGCACCAAGAAACCTTACATTGTAATACCATGCACTTTTTTTTTTATGCCATTCTATCTTGTCACTTGTTTAATATGATTATAGGCAAGCAAATTTGTTTTCTTGACAAAAAAACACAAAATCCTTAAAACAAAATTTTATATTCAAATACCTTTGGGGCGAGCACAACAGCAGTTCAATAAACAACTGTTGAATAATATTACAAACTTAACATACATACACACACACACACACACACACACATTTAAGTTTTCTACAAGTCTTTTTTGTGTGCATGCCTGTACTGAGGTTTAAACTCAAGGCCTGGGTGCTGTCCCATAGCTTTTGCACTCCAGGCTAATGCTCTAGCCATGCAGATAATTCTGGCTTAACTGGTGATAAATTATCTGCCTAGGCTAGTTCAAACAGAGCACCCCAGAGCTCAGCCTCCTAGTTAGCTAGGATTACAAGCTTAAGCCACAAGTACCTAGCTTCCTATAAGTCTTTTTGCTTAAAGCAAAAACTAAGAGAACATGGCTTCATATTTATATAGCACTGGATATTAGGGAGCATTTTGCTTCTGATACATAGTCCAACACTTTGATGTCAACAAAGCTCTAAAAAAGTATTGAGTCAGGGGCTGGGAAGGTGGCTCAGTGGTAGAGTGCATGTCCTGCATACATGAGGCCCTGGGTTCGATTCCTCAGCACCACATAAGCAAAAAGAAAAAAGCCGGAAGTGGTGCTGTGGCTCAAGTGGTAGAGCGTTATTAGCCTTGAGCTGAACAGCTGAGGGATAGCGCCCAGGTCCAGAATTCAGGCCCCATGACCAGCAAAAAAAAAATTTTTTTTTAAATTATTGGGCTGGGAAGGTGGCTCAGTGGTAGAGCGCTTACCTTGTATGCACGAGGCCCTGGGTTCAATTCCTCAGCACCACATAAGCAAAAAAGAAAAAAAACCAGAAGTGGCATTGTGGCTCAAGTGGTAGAGCGCTAGCATTGAGCTGAAGAGCTGAGGGACAGCGCCCAGGCCCAGAGTTCAGGCCCCCCCCCCCCCCCAAAAAAAATTATTGAGTCAGCACATAAATCACAAAGATTTATAATCACTAAGTGAGGAAGAATCTGAAAGAACATATCTAAAATATTCAATAGACAAATGAGGAAATTAAGTTCAGAGTGAGTTGAGTTGCCCAAGATTATGATTTTTGTGATGAGAAATACCAAGACTAGACTCTAGATTTCCTGAATGTTAGCCTGGTATCTTCCCCAAAAGAACTGTTTTGTGAGCTCAGAATGAAATGGATACTTTGAAAATATTTGGTACACAGAATCGTCTTTCCCAGTGTAATTACTTTTCTTGTGAGTTATTACAGCATCATTAAGAAATAAAAAGCGGGGGCTGGGAAGGTGGCTCAGTGGTAGACTGCTTGCCTTGCCTGCATGAGGCCCTGGGTTCTATTCCTCAGTACCACATAAGCAGAAAAAGCCAGAAGTGGCACTGTGGTTCAAGTGGTAAAGTTCTAGCCTTGAGCTGAAGAGCTGAGGGATAATGCCCAGGCCCAGAGTTCAAGCCCCATGACTGACTAAAAAAAAAGAAAAGCTAGGGCTGGGAAGGTGGCTCAGTGGTATAGTGCTAGCCTTGCATGGATGAGGCCCTGGGTTCAATTGCTCAGCACCACATAAGCAGAAAAGGCTGGAAGTGGCGCTGTGACTCAAGTGATAGAGCGTTAGTTTTGAGCTGAAGAGCTGAGGGACAGTGCCCAGGCCTAGAGTTCAGGCCCCACAACTGACGAAAGAAAGAAAGGAGGGAGGGAGGGAGGGAGGGAGTGAAAAGAAAAGAAAAGCTGGTCGCTCACACCTATAGTCCTAGCTACTCAGGAGGCTGAGATGTGAGGATTCTGGTTCAAAACCAGCCCAGGGGGCTAGGAAGGTGGCTCAGTGGTAGAGTGCTTGCTTTGCATGCATGAGGCCCTGGGTTCGATTCCTCAGCACCACATAAGTAGGAAATAAAAAGCTGGAAGTGGCGTTGCGGCTCAAGTGGTAGAGGGCTAGCCTTGAGCTGAAGAGCTGAGGGACAGCGTCCAGGCCCAGAGTTCAGGTCCCACGACCAGATCCCAAAAAAAAAAAAAAAAAAAAAAACCAGCCTAGGCAGAAAAGTCCATAAGACTCTTATCTCCAATTAACTACCAGAAAACTGGAAGTGGCACTGTGGCTCAAGTGGTAGAACATCAACAGCCTTGAGCTGAAGAGCTCAGGGACAGCACCCACAACCACAAAACAAAAAAAAAGAAAAAGAAATTAAAAGCTTGGCTAGGAATGTGGCTTAGTGGTAGAGTGCTTGCTTAGCATACATGAAACCCTGGGTTCAATTCCTCAGTAATACATGAACAGAAAAAGCCAGAAGTGCCACTGGCACAGAGGCTCTGGGACAGAGCCCAGGCCCTGAATTCAAGCCCAGGACCAGGAAAAAAGGAAGAACGAATGAACAAACTAAAGAGAGAAGGGGAAAGGGGGAAAGAGGGAAGGAAAGGAAGGAAGAAAGGAACAAAGAAACAAAGAAAGAGAGAGGGAGGGAGGGAGAGGGAGGGAGGGAGGGAGGGAGGGAGGAAAGGAAGGGAGGGAAAGAGGGGAAGGAGGGAAAGGAAAGGAAAAGAAAGGGAAGGGGGGAGAGGAAAGGAAAGGAAAGGGGAATAGGGAAAAGGGAAAAGGGAAAGGTAGGGAGGAAGAAAGGAAGGGAAGGAGGAAGGGAGGGAGGGAGGAAGAAAGGAGGGAGGAAAAGCTGTGCTGGTGGTTCACACTTGTAATCCTAGCTATTTAGGAGGCTGAGATCTGAAATCCCAGTTCAAAGCCAGCCTGGGCAAGAAATTCTGTGAGACTCTTATTTCCAATCAGCCACCAAAAAATTGGAAGTGTCGCTGTGGCTTAAAATGGTAGAGTGCTAGCTTTGAACAAACTGAGCTCAGGAACAGCACCCAGGTCCTGAGTCAAGTCCCACAGCCGACAAAAAGAAAATGAAAAAAAAAAAAGGAAAAATTGTCTTGTTTTTTACTGCAGAATATAATATACCATCTTTCCCCTCCTTCCCTCCCCCCTGTTTTTGGTACCAGGGATTGAACTCAGGGTTTTTCACTTTTTCACTCAAGACTAGCACTCTACCACTTAAACTATACTACTACTTCCAGCTTTTTGCTGGTTAAAGGTTAAGTTTCTTTGATGCCTGCTTTAAACCTTGATTCTCAGATCTCAGCCTCCAAAGTAGCTAGGATTATAGGTATGAGCCACCAGCACCTGCTGCTGCCTTCCTTTTAATTCTACTTGTTAATGCCATCCATATGCAGAAGTCTGAACAAATTTACAGATATTTACAAACCAGCACAAGTGAAAAAAATATTTGTGTATGTATAAAGAACTTATAAAATGATTCTCTGATTTAAAAAAAAAATCAGAGGACCCAAATTAAGATACAGTGTGGTTCACAAATTAATCCTTGAAGAAGAGACTACAGGTTTCAAATCTAAGTATATACTGCCTATTTATTCACTCAATTGATGCAGCCAGAATCAAAACTCCTCTTTTCCCACATTCCCACAGCAGTTATGTGACCTGGGTTTGCCCTTTGTACTATCCTATCTCCAAATCTCTTTGACAAGAATGTCACCATACCTGAAGTTCTCTGCTCAAGTCACTTTTTTGGATTAAGGCGTTGTCTCCAGAAGGCCACTGTGAAATGCATGTTACCTGAGAAGGGAAGGAAGATCCATTAACATATCACTTCTATAGTTATCAAACATACAAGATCTGTGATGACCTTGGAAACCTCACAACAAGTCTTTAAAAAATAAATTCATGGAATGTTTTTTAATGGAGCAGTCAGGATTAAAGGACAAGTTAGGAAAAAACATACACAGTATGGGATAATACCCACCTTGGTATATGATAGCTATGTGGCATAATGAGGATGACCATTATAAATATATTCTGCCTACAAGGGTCACTGTAAGGACATTCTTTCCAAGTTGGAGGCTCATAGGGACAAGAAAAGAAAAAGCACTCCCAGGATCAGGGTATAATCAGTTCTGAAAAGCAGCAAAAGAGCTGAGTTGGCAGTAGTTTCACAAGGACAGTGCACTGCTAGACTGGAGGAAGACAGGGGCCAGAATAGCTTCTGGGTACTGTTTCTTATTATGAGGATGGTTTGCAACCTGACATTTCTTTAGCTGAGAGCCAACCTCCCAACCAGAGAAGGCTACAATTCAATTCTCTGAATCCCCTTGCTGATTTATATTGATTCAAAGCCAGTATCACTTACAGCCACATTCCTTTACTAATTGCTTATTCTGAGTCCATAATTTGGAGTCACTAGAAATATATAAAAATAGTGATCATATATATTTTTGCCTTAATTCACATAAGGAAACCAATCCCAAAAGCCTAAAACAGGTGTTTGGGTAAAAAAACAAAAAAAAAAAAAATCACTATTTTCTATCAATACTGATACAATTTGTTAAATAAGTTTTATTGTAAAAATACTGTAGAGGGGTTACAGTTACATGAGCAAGGCAATGAGTATATTTCTTATCAAGCATTGTTACCTCCTCCTTTGTTTTCCCCCATCAGCCCTTTCCTCCCATCTCCACAACTACACTTTCCCCACCCTCCACCTCCCCACCCCCCGGCCTAAATTGTAAAGTTCGTTTTTCAACATAGTGTCTTCTACACCAGTACAAATTTCTTAAGCCAGAATGATTGCAACAAAACTCACTCCCAAGGCAAAGTTCCTTGTTAAACTCTTGCCTAAATGTTTAAGAAGCATAGACTAAAAATTCTGGTCCAATAGTAGAAGCTCTTTAATAGCATGCATACATGCTATTAAAGAAGAATGCCAGACTGAGAGTTGTAGGTTTTTTTTGTTGTTTTATTGTCCGTTGTGGGCCTTAACTCTGGGCCTGGATGCTGTCCCTCAGCTCTTCAGCTCAAGGCTAGCACTCTACCACTTGAGCCAGAGCACCACTTCCAGCTTTTTCTGCTTATGTGGTGCTAAGGAATCGAACACCGGGCCTAATGCAGGCAAGGCAAGCACTCTACCAATGAGCCACTTTCCCAGCACCCAGACTGAGAGTTGTAAAATTTGGTTCTCGTGTAGCTCTGACTTTTAACTAGCTTTAGGTAAAATATTTGATTTTTTTTTTTGGGGGGGGGGGGAGGGGTATCGGCTGTGGGGCTTGAACTCTGGGCCTGGGTGCTGTCCCTGAGCTCTTAAGCTCAGGGCTAGTGCTCTACCACTTGAGCCACAGCACCACTTCTGGTTTTCAGGTGGTTTACTAGAGATAAGAGTCTCAAGGACTTTCCTACGTGGGCTGGCTTTGAAGTGCAATCCTCAGATCTCAGCCTCCTGAGTAGCTAGGATTACACACTTGAGTCACCAACGCCCAGCTTGAATTTTTTTTAACAAATGTAAAACTCAGAAGTTAGAACAGCCTTAGCATACATATCTTGAATACACGCACACATAAACACATATTCTAATAGCTATTTGCTTACAAGAGACAAGTTTTATTGCTGTTTTTTGTTTTATGGTTCTTCTGTGGTGCTAGTATAGGAGCTTGAACTCAAGGCCTGGGCAATGTCCCTTAGCTTTCTTGCTCAAGTTCTGCTCAAGGCTGGTACCCTACCATTTCAGCCACAGATCTACTCACAGCTTTTTGGTGGTTAATTCGTGATAAGAGCTCACAAATTGTCCTGCCCAGGCTAGCTTGGAACCACCATGACCCTCAGATCTTAGCTTCCCGAGTAGCTAGGATGACAGGTATGTGTTACCTGCATAAGGCTTCTATTCAGATTTGTTAATAGGTTCCTTAACAGAAAAGGAACTCTTTAACCAGACTAGTCTTGGTGGTTCGCACTAATTGGATAAATCATCCATCCTTCTTAGGTCAGGCTTTGTTCTCCACTGTCCTTTCACTTTTACCATCTTTCCTTTTTTTTGTGTGCTGGTATCAGGGCTTGAACTCAAGACCTCAAGCTCCTTCTTGCTTAGCTTTTATGCTCAAGTCTGGTATACTACCACTGGAGCCATATCTCTACTTTTGGCTTTCTGCCGGTTAACTGGAAATAAGAGTCTCTGGAATTTGTCTGCTGGGGATAGCTTTGAAGGGAGATTATCAGATCTCAGCATTCTGAAGATTCTCAGATTTCAGCCTGAGTAGTTAGGATTATAGGTATGCGCCAATGGTGCCCATTTAGAATCATCTTTCCAAACACATTTTCACATCACTTCCCTGCCTTAAGAATCTTCAACCCTGGGCTGGGAAGGTGGCTCAGTGATAGAGCGCTTGTCTTGCACGCCTGAGGCCCTGGGTTCAATTCCTCAGCACCACATAAGCAAAAAGAAAAAAAAAAGCCGTTAGTGGCACTGTGGCTCAAGTGGTAGAGTGCTAGCCTTGAGCTGAAGAGCTGAGGGACAGCGCCCAGGCCCAGAGTTCGGGCCCCACAACCGGACCCAAAAAAAAAAAAAAGAATCTTCAACCCTAACAAAATAAAGTTTCTAGTATTATACATAAAAAAGCTTCAGCTGGGCACCTGTGGCTCACACCTGTAATCCTAGCCACTCAGGAGGCTGAGATCTGAGGCTCATGGTTCAAAGCCAGCCAGGGCAGGAAAGGCCGTGAGACTCTTATCTCCAATAAACCATTAGAAAACCGGAAATGGTATTGTAGCTCAAGAGGTAGAGCACTCGCCTTGAGCTGAAGAGCGCAGGGACAGCGCCCAACCCAGAGTTCAAGCCCAACTAACCAAAAAAAAAAAAAAAAAAGTTTCAATATAATTGGCTCCTTTTTACCTTTTTGGCCTCATAGCTGACAATGCTCTCCACTTCACTTCCTATTCCCCCCAAACCTTTTTCTCCCATAATCGTCTGGATTTATAAGTAGCATTAAGGTGTTTTATCTACCTACCTGTCCTTTCCTTTCTCTACCTCGGTTACATTCCTACTTATTAAGACCAAACTCAGAGGCAAATCTTGCCCCCTCCTCTTCTGAACAATCCCCAGACTAAACTGGCCTACATCCTCAGTCTTGAAGCTTTTTGAGCCATCCTTAGTGTGTCCATATAAATTGTTTCAGTTCCCAAGAACATCAGAATTATCTATGGTATATTTTAAACATAAAGCAGCAGCAGCCAACTCAGACCTACTAGTCAACATCAGAAATGAAATCCTGGAATTTTTTTTTTTTTAATTTTTATTATAAAGGTGATGTACAGAGGGGCCTGAGCCCTGTCCCTGAGGTTAGTTTTTCCACTCAAGGCTAGTGGTCTACCACTTTGAGCCACAGTGCCACTTCAGTTTTCTGGTAGTTAATTGGAGATAAAAGTCTTAGAGACTTTCTTGCCCAAGGTGGCTTCAAATCGTGTCTTTAGATCTCAGCCTCATGAGTAGCTAAGATTATAGGCATGAACCACGGGTCCTGACTATGAGTACATTTCTTTTTGGACAGTATCACCACTTCCCTCACATTCTCCCAGTATTTCCCTCCCATCCCCAATCACAAGTTATTTAGTTCATTTTCAACACAGTGTCTAGTGAGTACCACTACTGCATTTGTTCACCTTCATTTCTGTGCCCCCCCCTTACCTTCCCTAAGGAGAAAAAACAAACAAAAAAACCTCATTTCCATTTCCTGGAACTCATTTTGTTAAATATCATTTTATTTATTTTTGCCAGTCCTAGATCTTGAACTCAGAGCTTGGGCACTGTCCCTGAGCTGCTTTTGCTCAAGGCTAGCACTCTACCACTTGACCCACAGCACCATTTCCAGCTTTTTCTGTTTATGTGATACTGAGGAATCAAACCCAGGGCTTCATGCATGCAAGGCAAGCACTCTACCACAAAGCCACATTCCCAGCCCCAATATAATTTTATATGATCAGAGGCACATAGGCATTGCAGCTTTGTGTTTATCCCTTAAGAGTATCAGACTTTCTACTTTTTTTTTTTTGGCCTTGAACCCAGGGCCTGGGCACTGTCCCTGAGCTTCATTTGCTCAAGACTAGCACTCTACCACTTGAGCCACAGCATCACTTCCAGCTTTTTCTGTTTATGTGGTACTGAGAATCGAATCCAGGGCTGCATGCATGCTAGGCAAGCATTCTACCACTAGGCCACATTCCCTACCCAGATTTTCTACTTTTAAAAAATCTTTCTCGGGGCTGGGAAGGTGGCTCAGTGATAGAGTGCTTGCCTTGCATGCTCGAGGCCCTGGGTTCGATTCCTCAGCACCACATAAGCAAAAAGAAAAAAGCCGGAAGTGGCTCTGTGGCTCAAGTGGTAGAGTGCTAGCCTTGAGCTGAAGAGCTGAGGAACAGCGCCCAGGCCCAGAGCTCAGGCCCCACGACCGGACCAAAAAAAAAAAAGAAGGATCTAAAAAATCTTTCTCCCCACTTTGATGTGATCCTGAGACTTGAACAAAGGTACTGTCCCTGAGCTCTATTTTGACTTTTTGGTCAGTCGTGGGGCTTGAACTCTGAGCCTGGGCACTGTCCCTAGCTCAAGGCTAGCACTCTACCAGTTGAGCCACAGTGCCATTTCCTGTTTTCTAGTGGTTTATTGGAGTCAAGAGTCTCACTGATGTTCATGATCCGGCTGGCTTTGTACCGTGATCCTCAGATCTCAGCCTCCTGAGTAGCTAGTCACAGCGCCCGGCTTCCCTGAGCTCTTTTGCTCAGTTCTTTTGCTTTACCACTTGAGCCACAGCTCCATTTAATTTCCTAATTTTTCTAATGGACAAATTTGGGAAGCAAGGGTTTTGTTTTGTTTTTATTTTTCTCCCAGCAAGGGCAAAGTTACCTTTTGAGGCCTGGCACCAGTGGCTCACACCTGTAATCCTTTCTACTCAGGAGGCTGAGATCTGAGGATCTCAGTTCAAAGCCAATCCAGGCAATAAAGTCCATGAGATTCTTATCTCCAATATACCAGAAAAAAGCTGGAAGTGAAGCTATGGCTGAAGTACAAGAAGGCTAGTCTTGAACAAAAAGCCCAGGCCCAGAGTTTATGCCCCAAGCCTAACACATACATATGACTCACAGCCCCTCAAAAACTTGTATATTTACTGTTTCAAGGAGAATTTCCACCTTCATTTCTAAAACTGACAAATGAAATAATTGCTCTAGGGACCTCACCAGATTTCTCATAAGAACTTTATTTCTGATAAGAATCAAGCTCTCTGCCAATTTTGAGAGTGGAAATACACTACCTTTACCTACTTCCTTAAGATCGAATTATATATTAGGAACAGATGCAGGAGATGCCTGCACTTAGGAGCAACAGTATGATAACTGCAGGCTTGTGTTCTTCAATTTTCAAATAAAATCTGTCTTCCTCGCTCCCCCCTCATCCCTCCCACCCACCCCCACCCCACTTCAGAACAAGTTTACTGCGGTTATTGAACAAATGGCAGATAATGCAACAAGATCAGTATACGAATATAACCCAGAAAACGAGTAATGGGGGAAATCGCGAATTCCAGGTACTCTGCCAGCGCACCTGGTTACATCTCTAACTTTAGGCCCAACTCCTACTTCGGATGCCTTGACCCTTGTAACTTTCTCGAAGTCTCGGCCGGGAACTAAGTCTGAAAACTTGAGTCCTCTAGTGAAAAGTCAGGACCTCGTCGTGTTTCGATCTTAGGAGTACGGTCTCGGCTACTTTATTTTCCCTGTTAGAGAAAAGCGCACTCACGGGAGGAAGGACACTGACAGCTCCACGTCTGCAAAAGTCGGCGCCGCGGCGGCGGCGGCGGCCGAGGAGGGCGCCTGGGCCGGGACCACCACGCGGGGGGACAATGGAGGGAAAAGGACAGCGGAGGGGAGCCGGGGAGGCAGCCGCGGTGCTGGGCCCTCCCCGCCAACTGGGGCTCGGAAAAGTCTCGGGAAAGCCAACCAGGTGGCAGGTGGGCCCCAGCCGCCGCCCCTCGCAGGGCCACGTCGCCCGGGCGGGCCGCTTGCCACCCGGCCCGGCGCCTAGGCCGGACCTCGGGAGAAGTGGCCGCCGGGCGCGGCTGAGGGGCGCGGGGCTGGACCCTGCCTACGCCCGCCACCGCCCGGGCCTCTCACAACTTGGGTCCCCGGGGCTGGGGGCTCCGGGCGCCCCGGCCGGGCACCGGCGGCTGGCTGTGTCCGGCTGACCCCACCCCCGCCCCGCGCCCGGCCCCGGCCCCCAGCCCGAGCTCCCGGCGCCCCCCACGGGCGCCGGCTCGGAGGGGAGAAGAGCAGCCTCGGAGGTGCGGTCCCGACGCCCCGCGCCACATTCCCCTACACCCGGTTCTCTACCAGTCTTCTCGTCCTGACTCTCCCCTCTCCCCAAAACGACCCCCAGTACGCCCGCGGGTGTTTACCGGGACTCGGGGCGGCGACGACTCCTCAGTCCCTCGACTAAGATGGCAGCCGGTCCCGAGCCCGACCACAGCGACCAGAGCGAGTTAGCGGACAGTGCGCAGGCGCCTCCTCTTAGGGGAGGCCCGGACTACAAGCCCCAGCAGGCCTTGCGCGCCAGCTCGCCGAAGGGTTTCTCACCTTCAGGTGCGACGGACTTTGAGGTGCTCACAGCATCCTCAGCTTTGCTTTCCTTATCTGCCCTTCCCCCTCCCACCCCCTCCTAGTCGTCTTCGTCCTCCTCCCCGTCGTCTTCGTCCTCCTCCTCCTCCCCCTTCCCTTCCCTTCTCTCTCCCTCTTCTTCCTTGCCTCTCTCCTTGCCTCACTCCTTTCTCTCTTTTCTTTCCCTCCCTCTCTCCTTCCTTCCTTCCTTCCTTCCTCCCTTCCCTGCTTTCCTCCTTTCTTCCTTCCTTCCTCAGGCACCAGAACTTCTAAAAGATTATGACTGTGGTTCCCAAACTCGAGTCAATGTCAGAATCATCTGAAGGGCTGCGGGCACTGGTGGCTCACACCTGTAATCCTAGCTACTCTGAGATGTGAGGATAGCGATTGAAGCCAGACAGGGCAGGACAGTCTGTGAGACTCTTCTGTCTACCTAACAACTAAAAAGCCAGAAATGGAGCTGTGGCCCAAATGGTAGAGCACTAACCTTGATCAAAACAGCTATACAATAAAAAAAAAAAAAAAACAGTAAAATTTAAAAAACACAAACAGAGCCAAACGCCAGTGGCTCACACCTGTAATCCTAGCTACTCTGGAGGCTGAGATCTGAGGATCATGGTTCAAAGCCAGCCTGGGCAGGAAAGTCCAGGAGACTCTTATCTCCAATAAACCACCAGAAAACTGGAAGTGGCACTGTGGCTCAAGTGGTAGAGTGCTAGCCTTGAGCTGAAGAGCTGAGGGACAGCTCCCAGGCCTGGAGTTCAAGTTCCACATCACACCTGTAATCCTAGCTACTCAGGAGGCTAAAATTTAAGGATTGAGGTTCAAAGCCAACAGCAGGTAAGACTTTTACCTACACCTACACACACACAGAGTCTGCAGTGGAGCTGTGGCTCAAATGGTAGAGCATTAGCCTTGAAAAAAAAAAAGAAAAAGAAAAACCTCAGAGAGAGCATTCAGATCTTGAATTCAAACCCCAGGACCAGGAACACTCTGGAGTTAACACTGAATTCAAATCTTTCACCTTTAAGTGTTCTTAGAGGTGACAACAGGTTAATGGTGCCAATATGGCAAATGTTCTAAGGCTGAACAAGCTTCCTTAATCCTCACAACAAACCAATGAGAGAAGCACCGTTATTATCCCTATTTTACAGATGCATAAACCAGGTCACACATAGAATAGCAACATAGGCAGTTGCTTTCAAGTCCATCCAACCTCCATCATGGAATTGTTTATGAGAATTAATGGGCTATGTAAGTAGTGACTCAAGAGCCTCATCTAAGTGCTCAGTAATTAGTTACCTTTGCTATTATTGTTAGTCTTTTCCTAAGGAAGGTATTTAACATCTGGAAAATCACTTGTACTTTTTAAAGTCATGTCAATGTTTCTTTCCTGGATTTCCCTTAGGAGATCTTATTAAAAACATATATTCCACCAGGTATCAATGGCCTGTAATCCTAGCTACTCAGGAGGCTGAGATCTGAGGATCCCAGTTCAAAGCCAGCCAGGGCAGAAAAGTCTGAGGCTCTTATCTCCAATAAACCACCAGAAAACCATAAGTGGCGCTGTGGCCCAAATGGTAGAGTGCTCAACCTGAGCAGAAATGCTCAGGGATATCATCCAGGCCCAAAGATCAAGCCCCAGGATCAACAGAAACAAACAAGCAAAAAATACATATTCCTGGGGCTGGGAAGTTGGCTCAGTGGTAGAGTGCTTGCCTTGCATGCCTGAGGCCCTGGGTTCAATTCCTCAGCACCACATAAGCAAAAAGAAAAAAGCTGGAAGTGGCACTGTGGCTCAAGTGGTAGAGCTTTAGCCTTGAGCTGAAGAGCTGAGGGACAGCGCTCAGGCCCAGAGTTCAGGCCCCACGACCAGACCCAAAAAACAAAAACATATTAACCAGGATCCAGTGGTTCACATCAGTAATCCTAGCTACTCAAGCACTAAGATCTGGATGATTGCAGTTTGAAGCCAGTTGGGGCATAGAATGCAAGAGACCCCCCCTATCTCTGAAAAATAACCAGCAAAAAGCTGGGCTCAATGTCTGGCTCAAGTGATAAAAAGAAAGTGTAAGGTATATTAAATAGATAGGTTTCATTAGGTAGCCAATGAAGAGAACACCACGAACTATTTATGGAGAAGTTTATTTAGTGAACTGCTGCCCGCGCTGTGCATAGCGGAGAGGAATGGCTGAAAAGAAAAAAAAGGCCAATCCAACCCTGGGCCAGGACTTATCTAGGCTACGGACAGGAAGATGTATGGCCAGGTTGAGGAAAGGTGTGGCCACACTGGAATAGGGCATAACCTCAGAGTTGGGGACCCTCCTAAGGTCTGATGGGAGACATGTAACCAGAGGTGGCCCAGGACATGACCAGTTACCTAGGTAACACAGCTACTGGGTGGAAACTTAGCCAAGAGGTAGGGAGCTGTCCCTATGCAGACCTTACAGAAAGCAGAAGAGCCAGAGATCAATTCCTGGTATTGGGAGGTGTGGCAGGGGCGGGGAGGGGGAGGAAGGGAGGGAACCATGAGATTTCTTAGGGTTAAAGTATTTTATATATGAAAATAAAGCAATGAAGCCAATTTAGATTGTTTTTAATTTTAAATTTTAAAAAGAAGCCAGTGGCTCGTGCCTACAATCCTTGCTATTCAGGAGGCTAAGACCTGACAGGTGGTCCGTCCAAATCAGTGCAATTAACCAGCAAAAAGGTGCGCTAGAGGTGTGGCTCAACTGCTAGAGCACCAGCTAGGAGCAAGAAGGCTTGAAGGAGAGTAGGAGGCCTGAGTTCAAGCCCTAGTAGGGGCATAAAAAAGTAAAAAAAAAAAAAAAAAAAAAAATTCAGTGCTGCGAGAAAAATCTGTATTTTCTGTCAAACCAAAGTGACTCCATCTTGTCATCATTCATCATTGTACATTGATATTTCTTGGAATTGTTATTTCCTGCAATTATTTGCTTTTTTATTTCAATTGTAACTATCATCTGTGCTGTTTGTGACCAGCCAGCCATGTTAGGAATATGAATCTTTGTCAACAGAGTTAAAGAATAAACTGTAACTACCAGGTGTGCTGCTTGTGACCAGCCAGCCATATCAGGGGTATGAATCTTTGTCAATGGAGTTAGAAAGAGTAAGACCCCCTCAAGTGGAAACTTTCCACTGAGTTTATCAACCAACCCCTCCAACTGTAACTGTCAGCCACCTGTTCCTAGCCCCGCTCCCAGCCAGAAGATAAATGTAAACCTTTCATAAGAAGTAAAGAATAAATAAACTCCTTTCTAACTTCTTTGTATTTTCTCCAATCACCTTGGTAACCAATTGTACTTAGAATGGAAGGCTAACTCCTTGACAAGGAGAAGGGAGAGTTAAGATTAGGATAAAAATTTAGTAGACTGCCCTGCCTAGTGTGCCTGCCTAGTTCTGGGAAGGGTATTAACATTGCACACTGTGTGTGTGTGTGTGTGTGTGTGTGTGTGTGTGTGTGTGTGTGTGTGTGTGTGTGTGTGTGCTAATTCTAGGGCTTGAACTCAGAGCCTGGGTGCTGTCTCTGAGTGTTTTTTTTCCCTCAAGGCTAGCACTCTACCACTTGAGCCATAGCTCCACTTCTGACTTTTGGTGGTTAATTGGAGGTAAGATTCTCACAAGGAGCAGATGCCAGTGGCTCACACCTGTAATCCTAGCTACTCAAGAGGCTAGATCTGAGGATTCCAGTTCAAAGGCAGCCCGGGCAGGAAAGTCCGTGAGACTCTTATCTCCAATAAACCACCAGAAAACCAGATGTGGCGTTCTAGCTCAAGTGGTAGAGTGCTAGCCTTGAGCTGAAGAGCTGACAGACAGAGCTCAGGCCCAGAGTTCAAGCCCCACAACCAACAAACAAAAAAGATTCTCACAAAGGGTTAGGAAAGTAGCTCAGCAGTAGAGCACTTGCCTCACATGCATGAGGCCCTGGGTTCGATTCCTCAGTACCACATAAGCAGAAAAGGCTGAAAGTGGCACTGTGGCTCAAGTGGTAGAACACTAGCTTGAGCTGAAGAGCTCAGGGATAGTGCCCAGGCCAGAGTTCAAGCCCCACAACCGACCAAAAAAAAATTGTTCTCACAAACTTTCCTGCATGAACTAGCTTTGAACTACCAGCCTTAGCACTCAGCCTCCAGAGTAGCTAGGATTATAAATGTGAGCCACCTGTGCCTGGTAATAAATTATGCTAAGAAGGGAGGAAGGACTAAGGAAGAATGATGGAGGAGGTGGGGGGGCTGAGGTTAATGAGATTTTTTTTTTTGGTAGTGGGGCTTGAACTCTGGGCATGGGCACTGACCCTCAGCTCTTCAGCTCAAGGCTAGCACTCTACCACTAGAGCCACAGCAGCACTTCTGGCTTTTTCTATTTATGTTGTGCTGAGGAACTGAACCCAGGGTCTCATGCGTGCAAGGCAAGCACTCTACCACTGAGCCACCTTCCCAGCCCATTGATGAGATATATTACATACATGTATGGAAATGTCACAGTGAAATCTCCTTGTTCAATTAACGTATGCTAATGTATGCTATATTAAAATCTTAAGTAATTAGCTGAGTGCCAGTGGCTTATGCCTGTAATCCTAGTTACTGAGGAAGCTGAGATATGAGAACCTCAGTTCAAAGCCAGACTGGGCAGTTAAGTCTGTGAGACTTTTATCTCCAATTAACCACCAAAAAGCTAGAAGTGGAGCTGTGGCTTAAGTGATAAAGTGCTAGCCTTAAGCAATAGAAGCTCAAGGACAGCACCCAGAAACTGAGTTCAAGCCTAGGACTGGTAATAAATAAATACATACATACATACATACATAATAATTAATACCATTTCTGTTGTTAAAAAATAGATTCCTAGCAGGGTTCTGATGGCTCACACCTGTAATCCTAGCTACTGGGG